GTAGCACATAGAAAAAGTGGGGGGGGGGGGGGAACGGGTGCCAGCTGTGAAAGGCGGGTTTCACCCCTTGTGCTCAGCAGGCGATGGGTGAGCATCCCTCCCCTGGCATTCCCTCCTTAACTCCACTGCCCGCCCAAGAGATGTGCCTGAAGGCAGAGCAATATTCCCTGCAATTAAGGCAATTTGCTAATCAGAGCCACGTCAGGCCACCCGTCACACCTGCAAACACCGCACTGGCGCACAGCAAAAGCAGCTCACCTGCCTGCCCGCTCCGGGCTGTGAAGCCTGAGCAGCCACCCGAGGACTGGAATTTCTAATGGAAATCGTGACAAAGTTGGCAAGACCCCAAGAAAAATGAAGGCTCTAAATCACATAATTACTAGAAGAATGAAATTCTGTTACCACTCATAACCAGTCTGGAAAGTCAATTAAAATGTTCATGTATATTTGTAATTATTAGAGAAAAAACCCAGCCAAATAATAGAGAGCTTTAAAGACACAGTACACACCCTGCTTCCCAAAAGAGAGCATCTGATATTTGTGATCTGATCAGACATCTCAGGTCTTCATCACTGTGACACAGCAGTCGTGCGGTCTGGGAGGGAGCCAACAAACTGGGCTCCCAGTACCACGACACTAGTGCTCCCAGGCAGAGCAAGGACAGATCACACCGGAGTAGCCACACAGCCACAGCTCAGAAATACTAGAAACATCTAAATACAGAAATTGCAAAGGCGTATGTTGTACCGCACCTTCCCAAAGCTTCCTTTTCCCAGCACCATCAGGAAATTGAAATCCGAAAGTTTCATCCGATCTCTGCTCCCGTTGTTGTCGAATTTAGAAATGGCATTTGTTGTCTTCTCATCCGCAGCCTTGGACCCTGTTCCAATCTTGGCTCTCTGCAAAGGTGGAGATGGGACAGGGAGAAAAAGAGAAAAAAAATACTGAAAACAGTGTGGAGAGAGGTCATTACAAAACCCGCAAGTGCTCCTGAAATCCCACGTTAAGCAGCTCTATTCCAGGTCAAACGCTACCCTGAGCTACAGGAACCTCTTCTGTAATCGTGACAGGGACAGCACCAAGAAGGGCACTGGAGAAGTTATCAGCCCCAACATATGGCACTGTTCGGCTGGTTCCCAGTTAATCTCTGCGAGGGCAACTGGGAACCACATCTGCCCATTACCCCGTTACCCTCTCCCCGCCGGCAGCAGGGCACAGCAGGCAGCGTGGCCAGGGAGCTACCCTGTAACATGCTCGACGTCATCCAAAGTGTAGAACAGAGACTTCAATAAGCTTTTTTTTTTTTTTCCCTTCAAAGCTGGCTTCTGTCTGTCACCTCACCAGAAAAGGACAGGTGAATATAAATACATTAGGGTAAAATACAGGACTTTTTATCCAGCTCCACCTCCGTTACCATCTGATATTGAAGAGAATTGCACTCCCGTGCCAGTTCAGGCTGAACGTAGGAAGCTACAAATCCATTTTGAACAAACCAGAATAGCAAGTGCTCCTCCTGCATCCACAAGCAATCGCACGAGCTGCTGCAATCACAATTGCTTATTAAGGAGCCTCACAAAACCCCCACGTTTTTAAACACAAAATCTCATCAGTTGCTCGGCACCTCCTCATTGGTCCAGGGGCTATCTAATCTGCTGCACCACAGTTTGTAAAAGCTATCTCACAATTTATTCCGTTTTAATTTTTAGAAATATGCAACAGTGTAAGGCTTGCACTGAGCTCAGTCTAGCATGAAATTCCATTAACTCGATTCCAGCAGTTCAATTTGGCTGCTGCTCGCAGCTCCTCCAGATAGGAGCCTCACAAGTAATCTCCAAGCCTTTGCTGCTGCTAATTGGTTCTTGCAAGGTTCTCCGTGCTGTAAAATTCTCCATTCAAGGTCACCTGCAGCACCTACAAACATCTGAAAAAGTCCTGCACTGAAAACTAAAGGAATGGTCTCTGGGATTTGCAAACGTCATAATTTCTAACGCAGCTCTGCCCCAGGGAGGAGGCTGGAATCGTCCAACAGCCACCGGTACCTGCTACAGCCGCGCGCAGAGCCGCACAAGCGGCACGCTTGCTTCCCCATGGCAAAAAGGGCATGCATTGAACAGGAAATGAAGTCAACTGTCCCAAAGTACAAAGGTTTTTCCTCATTGGAATCTTTAGGTTTTTGCAACGTCCCTCAAAGAGGGGGATACGCAGCAAGAGCATTTTACTTCAGATCAGCCCAGATGACAAACAGCAGAGTCCTTGCGGGTTTGGTGCTCACCCAACCATGAGGCGCTCCACTGGACACATCGTGGTACACCAAGGGTGAAACCATGATTGCACCGTGTGGTACGGTGTGACAATCTCAAATATCTTACGCAAGTAAAAAATATTATCATCTCTATTCTGCAGAGTGCACAGCCTCAGGCACTCAGCACTTGACCCTCCACCATTCATGAAGCCAAAGCCTTTAAGCTCTGGCACTGACTGAAAGCTGCTCATTGAAGTTGGCCAACGAGGGATCCAAATGTGGGCAACCGAACGAGAGCAGCCTCTGCGTCTCCACGAAGCCAGCCCTGTGTCCTGTAACTTTGCCTTCAGCAATCCTCACCCCGTTGTATTTCTAAGCTATCTCCAGAAGAAACATGTCCTTATCAGCAGGCAAAATAGTCATATTCTGTGAAAGCTTCCTAAATACTCTATCACAGCTGAAAAACAATCTTGTCAGGTCAGATTTGACGCTAAATTAACCTCTGTGAAAACAAGCTGTACTAAAATTCAAGGGCAATATTACGTTTCCATTCAATGACACCAAAAGCACAGCTCTGCTTCGGACGAGCCCGTACTCTCCCACACCTCTGCAGCCCAGAGCACGGGGCTTGGCCACGGGATCCCTGACACGCTGACCAAAGCGAGGGAAGGCTTTCAGCCCTGAGCAGAGTGGAAAAGAGCAATACCAAGAGGGAAGGAAGGAAAAGGATTTTCATTTGCTTCATCCCAGCAAACCGGGCAGCTTCAGGCACAGCGTTATTAGCAGCGCCGGCAGACGCCCGGGTGAGCACCCAGCACCCAAGCGTGAGAGCGACTTCAGGTCCCTCCTGTTGCCTACGGCTGCTCCCAAGTCTGCGTTTGAAGAGGGGCTGCTTCAGTCACAGTCAGTCTTGCACTTGACCTGAATTTGCAGCATCGCAGTATGTTCACAGGAGACAAGAGGAGGATATAAACACAACGTGACTTCCCTGATGAAACAGGCTCGGTATGTAGCTTGGCCAGGAGGGGGAAAGGTCTTTTTTGGAAAAGAGCCCAAAATAAGAGTTGGGGAGATGTAAAGATGGTCATCCCCGAGTGAAGTGCCTTACCTTTGCTATTGAGTGTCTCTAACATCTACCTCTGAGTACAAAAGTCCTTTAACCTGTTTTTAATACACTCTTGACGCTCACACAATCTCGACACCTCTTTAAGGTTTACAACTGAAGCGTGCCAAATATTGCTCTCAAATTTTTTTTAAAAAAAGCACTTGACCTTCGTTATCCAACTCCATTTGTTATAGTTAATTTACTACATCTGAATTTATGCAATAGCACCTGACATTCACATCTATCAAGCTGTCCCAGCAAGCAGCTGATAAAGACCGAGCAGAATTAGCAGGGGATGTAGCGCAAGGCTTCACGCCGTGCTTTTGTCTCAGGATGCTTTCTTGTCAAGCCCAGGAGGTGCCCGCTGCAGACAGGCGGCTGCAGGAAGCGCAGCAGCAGGACCTCGGCCAAGAACGGCTTCACAGGCTGCCAGAAAGGGGCACGGCTCCAGCCAACAGCTCTGCGAGCACCCGTACATCTTCTGCGTTGTCCAGGCTGGCACCTCGGTCCTTTCAGCTAGATGCTTTTGCAATGTTAAGTCCACTCAAAATACAAACCTGTCATACGCATCTCAACTTTGTCCTATTGATTCACGCTGCCCAGGAACAGGCAGGATCAAGCAACACTAATGCAGATCGATTGAAGGATTCTTTTTAGTCCTTATCATCTGAAATGCTGTGACAGCACCCTGGCTGCTGCATCACAACCGGGCGCCAGCGCACTCCTCGCCCCTCGGATGCCAGCACAAGCCATCGCTCGGCTAGCCAGGGATTTCTTTCCTTGTAACACTGACTTGCTCATAAAGGAGGATGGAACAGGGGAAGACGCAGCAAGGTGAGGGTACAGATGTGCTCTGGCAGAGTGAAATGACACCTCTGGACAATCTATTTTCTCATCTGTAGACAACTCGTCATCGGACTTCCAACATACATAATGATTAACACCGCTGGAACACCATGAAATGCAACAAAAGCAGGTAGTTAATTCTTTACGGAGCTGACAGCCATTGGTTGTACGGCAACTGTTGTATTAGAACTGTCTTGTTTTCTTGGATAGTCAGGCAAGTTATATATAAATGAGATAAACATGAGATTAAAAAAAGAAAGGAGAGAAAGAAACTAACTCTCCAGTCCTGTGCTACCATTATGGAGTTCACGCTGACAGCCACAAGAACAACTGTTTTATTTTACATATGGCTCATTTCATGTAAGTCTCCAGACGTACCACATTCATTCTTAGCGTTCTGGGAAGACTTTAGCTGTACTGAAAAATGGCAAAGACCTATTAATTCAGTAATGTCTGGAAGATCTTCCATGGCCTATTGAGTAGTAAATAGGCATTTCTCCTTGAAGCCTCTTTGGGGAGTTGGACCCAAGCATCCCTGAAATCTTTCAGAGACTGGCATGGAAATCTCACCAGCTTCAGTTCACCTCCGTGCAGATCCCCGGAGCTGCCAGTGCAAAGCCCTGATGCTCCCTGACGCTGACAGCAGCTTAGCTGGGCAAGCTCCTCGGGGCAGCCGTGATAAGGCTCTGCGGAGCCTTTCTGGCTCCCTGAAATCCCACATCCACATTCATTCAGAAAAGCCCATCGCTTTTACGTCCTTTGCTTTCCCCGAGCGAGTATTCTGCACGCCCATCGGGACGGGCCAGAGCTGGCCGCAACGCCAAGCCCTCAGACCCCACTGCTCATGGGAGCGCTCTGGCTGGTGCTGCTGGCTTTCCCCCCAGTTACGAGCTCTCTTCAGACGATGCACTGTCACTCACCTCACCTTCGCTGTCACTTGGCCATATCAGCCAGCCCGTAGTCCAGTTAGCGTGGATTCCACTCGTGGTTCCTCAGGTTACCCCGCGACCTGGGCTGAGAGCAGTGCTACCCACCGCAGGAAGGATGGGTTACCCACCCTGCTGAGAGCTACATCACTGCCCCGTACGTATTGCCTGGCATTCCGGGGTTACAGCAGCGCTTCTGTCGGTAACACCTGGGGGCAAAGCGCCGTCCAGGATTGCTGATACCCCGTGCCAGCTCACCCAACCGTCGCCCTCTTAAAAAAAAAACCCAGCCCGGTCTCAGTGCACAAGGCAGGGTAAAGAGGCTGCCACGACATTTAACGGCTAAGAAAGGGTTCCTTTCTAAGATTAGCTGCAAATCCAATTATATTAATATCTTAATTTATCTTAGTTAATTATATTAATTCATAATCAGCAGCATGACAGAAAAAACAGATGAACAAATCCTATTATATGGCACCTCAGAACAAGGGTAGAACTGCTGTACCAACAACTCGCGCACGTGCTGACTTCAGGAGCATGGTTACATCAGGTCATCCTGGGGCATCCAGGATCTTCACCCCTCTTTAATTGGAATATAGTGTTGGAAATACATTCACTGAAATATCTCCTCTTCTAGCTACGCTATACTCATTTCGGCAAACACAAATTGTGAATTAGGTAAACCTAACAGAAAGACAGACGTGGTCTGAAACAACGCAAATGAAAGGGGGATGTTTGCTATGCTGCTTGCTTTGCAGTAAGAAGAAATGACTTCTTAGAAATGATGGGATTTCAGACTCCTTCCTACCCACAGGTAGCAGAGACACGGGATCAAGCACGCTTTTAGTGGAGCACAAGGCACCAAGCAAAGATTACACAAAACTCAGCACTGTACAATATCCTCTGTTGTATTTTCAACCTAACTGCCAAAGAATAATTTTCGTATCTCTCATCTCCTCATCCATCAGAAATGACTGTTCCCTTCCCCAGCTAATCCACTGCCTGCTTCTACCACGCACACAGTCAGACACACACGTGCACAGCAAAGTCACTGTACTTTCAAATTAGAAGAGAGTATTCCAAAAGGGAGAGATGGATGGCTCAGTCCATGTGCTACAATTAAAAACCATCCTGGCAATCCCATCAGAAAATTGCCTGCGAATGAGCCCTACACCTCCAGCTCCTGGTGTATCTGAATCCTTTTGCCTTAACTTGCTCTTCTGCAAACCTCTACAAAATGACTTTGGCTCATCTGTCCCTGCTCCCCGTCATTCCTCGCACCACTGTGCGGTTGCTCCTGGCCTCCCCGTGTGCCTCGTGCTGGAGAAGCCATGCAGCTGCAAGGACTGGGAAGCCAAGGAGTGCCCAGATCCCTGGCTCAAAGCACCCACGGTCTCTCCGCTCTCCCCTGCCCTGGCAGCACCAGCCCGGCACGGTGACAAGACCCAGTGCTGCACCAGCGAGGCAGGAACCGCTTGCAGATGCATCACAAATTTCCCATTCCTAAACTGATCCAGCAAGGTCCTCGCATATTATTTAACATAGTCAAACCAGTGCTGGAAAGCTTCGAATCTTGGGAGTGACTTTTTTTAAGTGTAACTGAACAACTTACCTTCTGGAAGGACTGCTTGAAGTTCATGCCCTGGAGCCAGGTGCGCCCCGGAGAGCCTCGGGAAGGACCGGCCAAGGGCACGGGCCCCCCAGGAGCGGGTGCAAAGTGGGGAGAGGGAGAAGCGATGGGCTGTACCCTGCTCCGTGTTCCCTGTGCTGCCAGGGAAAGAACTGGCAGGGAAAGCCCCTTGCCGAGCACACGGCAGGGAGCGAGGAAAACCCCGAGTTCCCAAGAAAAATCAATTCACCTCAAACTTCTGCCTCAGTTCCTCATTTCCTTCTTCTCCCTCAGGAGGCACCGGGACGTTGAAATACTCCCCTTCCTCCTGGCTCAGCAGCTTAAACCTGGAGGGACATGGTGAGAACGTCAGGTCAGAAGGAAAGCCCCTTGCCGAGCACACGGCAGGGAGCGAGGAAAACCCCGAGTTCCCAAGAAAAATCAATTCACCTCAAACTTCTGCCTCAGTTCCTCATTTCCTTCTTCTCCCTCAGGAGGCACCGGGACGTTGAAATACTCCCCTTCCTCCTGGCTCAGCAGCTTAAACCTGGAGGGACATGGTGAGAACGTCAGGTCAGAATGGCAGGCAGGAGGCAGGCAGGCAGGACCCCCCCTCCCGCCCCAAGCACAGCTCTGCCTCCAGGTGACCCTTCCCCAAGGTTAGAAGACCCCCCCCAAACCGTCCCACTCATGTACCCGAGTGGAGGGTTGTTTCTGGGGGCCCTTGCTGTACCGGGGACCCCAGCCACCACAACCCAGAAAGCACATCCGATACCCGCTGTAGCGGACGCCACAAAGCACCGATGCCCCTTCCAAAACACAAGTGTGACCCAAAAACCCACAGACAAAGCACGTCTTTCTCATGACTGCCACGGGCACATGCGTGGGCAAGCTCCTTCCCCACCAGCTGCCCCAGGTGCCAAGGCAGGCTGGGTTCCATGGGGGGAGCACACAGAGCTGGCCGGTGCTGGGCTTGCGCCGACAACCCCGAGTGCAAAGCCAAGATCCTCGGGGGGGAGAAAAAAGTTTAGGCAGCAATTATCAGAAATCATGGAAACGTTGTTCAGATCTGAGGCGTTTCACACGACCGCAGGCAAAGCCTTGGCTCCATCGGCAAACCCCTCCTGGCAGCCGGAGGACGGTTATCAGCCGGGTGTTATCTACGGAGGCTGCACGGAACGAACAAAGTGCTATTTGCATAATATAGGGACAGACTCTTCCTTTGAGCTTGTTTTCTCCATTAACTGCAGTTGTTTAGATATGAAATATACATCAGAGCTCCTGCTAGAGTTTATTCTAGCCAAATGCTGTGACAAGGAAAATTACTTAGATCTCCACTTACACGATTTTTAAAAGGCTGGGAAAACGATCAGACCTTGGGCCGCATCAGAAGCCGGCAGCGCACACCACCGCCAGCCGACACACACGCATCCTTACAGCTGACTGGAAATTTGGGGGAAATGACAATTTTCTTCTCTTTTTCCAGGAGAAAAGCCGTGTCTCAGTCAGGGTCTGATTCGTGGCAAGCGAGGCTCGTGGGTTGAGCCCTGCCGCGCCGCACCGCACGATAACAGGGCCAGACTCTGCCTGCAGCCCCACCACGGGTGGGTTTTCCTGGGGGGGGGACGGCACACGCTGCCTGACTGTGGGCCCCCACCGGGCGGGACAAGGCGGACAGGGAGCACCCCCAGACCCCCAGCTCTGCCCCCCAAGCTGCTGCTGTGCCAGGGAGGCAGTGGGTGCCCCGCACGGTGCCAGCCCTCCAGCCCACCCCCCCTGTGCAAGAGATGCACGACGCGGCGCTGTGCGGGCAGGCTAGCCTGCCGGCTAACTCCTCCTCCTCCTCCTAGTTCTCTGCTCTAAGTGAGACACGTACAGCTTCCACAGTGGAAAAGACAGAGTCCGAGGTGTTTGCTCAACTCGCGGAATGCAAATTAATAGCATGCAGGGTTTTGGTTTCCAAAAGACATATAATATCTATTTTCAATTATTACACTTCACATAGAAAGGTAACACAGCTCTCAGGCATCAGTGGCTAGGGAGAAAAAAAAAGGGGGGGGGGGTTTTTTGGGAAATAAGGCAGCATGTGTCCTGCTGGGGGAGATAAAATGGAAATGAAGAGACCCATTGAGAGCGGGTGTTACAGACCCACTGTGTTCATCTTTCGTATGGTAACGAGTGCCAGTAATTACACACTTTGCTAGCATTCCTCCTGTTATCGAACGGCCCCCCTCAGCACCATTTCTGACAGTCTGCGTGCTAGAAGCGGCTGACCCTTCCACAAATCGCAATTCAAAGCGTGTCCCCCCACCCCTTCACCTGCTCACAGCCTTGCTCTCCTGCACGCCTGACAAAGCCACGTCGCCTCCCCGCTACAGAAACTAAGGGAATCCAACCAGAAAATGCTGGGAAATGCTTCTTCTCCTGGCAGGTGATGCGTTCCCCTCCCGAAGTCTATGTGGTGAGAGCCCGCGGGGAGCACCGGGAACGCCACGCACCGTCTCTGTGTGTGCTCGGGGGAGGGAACAGCCCCCGAGCAACCCTGCAAGGGGCAGGGGGACACGGAGGAGGTGACATGCAGGCAGCCCATGCAGGGCTGTCCTGGTGCCTCTGGCCGTCCCGTGGGACACCCCACAGCCCACCACAGCACCAGCGATTCTCACCAGTCTGAGAAGTGGAGCGGCACCGTGCACGGGAGCCAAAATGGCTGGCGGTCCTCGAACAGAAGGATGCCGGTAAAGTACAACGGGTTGCCATACCTTCCAATGTGCACAAAACAATCAGGATTGCTTTTTGCCCATAGTATTTTTAAAATAATTGCGCTCTCACCATCCATCGACTCCCGACTTCTGCAGCTCAGAAATCCCGAAGGACAAGGAGCCCATAAAATCATCCCTGCTGGTTTTTTTTTCCACAGACAACCGCCTGTCTTTGTCTGCCTCTTTCAGTTGGCTGGAAGAGAGGAAAGAAAAAAGGGAGGGTTTTATTCTGGAAGCCATTGCTACACCACCGTGCCCTCCATGCTCCATAAAAACACAGATGCAAAATGATGCGATGACCATTCAGCTCTCTCATATTTGATTTCCCAACCCTATCCGCTTCAAACGGAGAATGCAGAATTCCTGCCACGAAACACTCGGCTTTGATCAGGGGTCAGGGCAGAGGTTTGAGCATTTCTGAGTCACACTTACAGGACCAAAAAGAATTATTTCTCAGTTGAATCAGCTTCATGTCTCTGAATAATTAAATCAGAGAAAATACAATCATATTAATTCTTAGGGGTGAGAAAAATGAGTTTACAAGTTTAAAAATTTTTCTTGTACTTACAATTTAAATGTTTCGTTCCACTCCGGATTCAGGGAGCACTTGATAGTTTTGGTCTTCTGTTTGCTTTCGTTTTTGGGGTCAGGGATTAGTTTAAGCTTCACGTAGGGATCTGACAGGCCATTAGGATCCATAGGAACTAGGTTTTTAGCATCTCTTACTGGGGAAGAGAAAAAGGATTCAATTCAGTATTCAAACTATAAAAATACCCAACAATTGACAACTTCCCTCTGTGGCAGGAATAAGTGTGAAAATAGCGATTAAAACGAGATGCAAACATGGACATTACATGAGAAACGACATACAGTTACCAATGCAGAGCAAACGCAGCCAGACAAGGGAGGCTGAAGGATCAACTCAAGAGATTATCGTCCCTTTCTGATCGGATGATTTTTTATTTTCTCTCAGTTTTAAACAGTTTAAAGCTGCTTTGTTTCCTCTTCCACCTTGGTAAGCAGAATTGCACCGATTTGCATCTTTCTTCCGGGAGAGGTGGGAGCACGGGGACAGTGCTTTCCGCAGAGAGTGGAAACATCAATGAGCCATGAACAGGGGAGAGCAGGCACCAGAACGCACCAGCACAGCGGCCGGATCCAGCACCGAGCTCTCCTCTTGGGTGCCCCTGGGCTCAGCTGCGGCAGCCCCGAGGGACCGGGGGATGCCCGCAGGGAGCGGTGCGGGCGCTGGGCTCGGCAGCATCACCCCAGCTCCGGGAGCCGGAGTGTCTCCTCCAGGGAGCAGGAGCAGAACAAGGAGCAGAAGAAGGGA